AGTTAGTGTCACTTTGGGTTTACGACTAGTCATGTCGGCCCGGGTTCTCTGTCATATAGATGCTAGCGACACTATCATATACGTGAGCCAAAAGGCGCAAACGGTCCCGGGCCAGGTAAGGTGGCACCCGTGGGAATACCGTGCGTGAGGCCGCAAAGTGATATGATGTGTTACATGCTAGGTCGGTGTGACTTAGGATCGGGGTCCCAATAGCTACATCCGTAACTAACTCATTAGCTACATTGCTTGCAAGGCTTATAGTGATGTACATTACCGAGAGGGCCCAGAGATACCTCTCCAACAATCGGAGTAACAAATCCTAATCTCGATCTATGCCAACTCAACAAACACCATCGGAGACACCTGTAGAACACATTTATAATCACCCAGTTACGTTGTGATGTTTGGTAGCACACAAAGTGTTCCTCCGGTATTCAGGTGTTGCATGATCTCATAGTCATAGGAACATGTATAAGTTATGGAGAAAGCAATAACAACAAACTAAACGATCATCGTGCTAAGCTAACGGATTGGTCAAGTCAATCACATCATTCTCTAATGATGTGATCCCATTTAATCAAATGACAACTCATGTCTATGGTGAGGAAACATAACCATCATTGATTCAACGAGCTAGTCAAGTAGAGGCAAACTAGTGACACTCTGTTTGTCTATGTATTCACACATGTACTAAGTTTCTGGTTAATACAATTCTAGCATGAATAATAAACATTTATCATGATATAAGGAAATATAAATAACAACTTTACTATTGCCTCTAGGGCATATTTCCTTTAGGAAGAAATAGAGGATAATGAAGCTCATATGCAGAGGGATGATACATAATCAAATAGCTATCAATTAAGTACAATGTTACAAGGCAAAAGGTGCTGACAAGAGGAATGCAGACCTCAACTTGTGCAGTGGCATTGGTTTTATTCAACATTTGGGTAAGAGTAAATGTAGATCTGATAATTTGGAGAAAATGGAGGGCAGTGCAAATAAGATGCGGAGTAATGCTGGACAATCAACTATCTCTCAATGTAAGTACACTAATATTACCTTCGCCCGGAATTACTTGTCACTCAAATGGATGTATCTAACACTATTTTAGTTCTAAGTACATCCAATTGAGCAACAATTAATTCGATACGGAGGGAGTGCATGACAACATGTACTTACAAGACCAATCCAGAACTTCATAACCATTGGGTTTATTCTACATTTATGTAAGAGTAAATATATATCTTATAATTTCGAGTAGATGGTGGATAAGGAAGCGAACATTTACATTGATACTACATGATCAAACAAAAATGAGTGTAAGTATGGTGATAAAGAACAAGAGGTACTGACAAGAGCAATGCAGTGCCCAGTATTGGTGTGAGATCTTATGATCCCTTGAGAATGGATATTCATCTGCAGGTAGTTTTCATATAAGAGAGATGGTAAGGCACATGCAAAAATGTAGGAGTTCAATTTTTGATTTGATATTATAGACAGTACTTGGCGCCGGGCTCTCTGCAGTTCTAATAGGGCTTTGGCCAATGGAGTAGGGGTAAAGTGTGCTACAGTTGGGGTCGTGTTTTCTGGGGCTGGTGATCTATCTGATTTATCAGGTATCACTGCCTTTTCCAAATACTTTGTTTGTACTCCTTCAGGATCTGCACTCACCCTCTTCCTTGTGGACATCTATTACGAAAGAACAACACCTGACTGAAAAAACATGGTATGATGACACATGGAATAGGTACATAAAATGGATAGGCATGTCATATTCTCATATATGATGTGTCAACTAATCAGATGATGGTGTAACAAAGTAGAAGTAATGAAAGACATCATATGCAAGATACGTGCGACTAATACAACCTTGCCAAGTTAGAGCAAGCACCTTAATGGGTGAATAAGATAGGCCAGCCTCCATCATGCCAAGTTTGTTAGCCAGTAGATTATTCTGCAATATTCCTCTCGTGCACCAATTATCATATTCATTATGATCATGTTCAATATCTACATGCATGAAAACATAAAAAATAAGTGAGTATCTTTGTAATGCACAGGGGATTCTAATCCAATAGTGCCTCCTGTAAACCCCTATGTGTTATCTCTGTGCAATTTTTCTGAGAGATGCCATGTGTGCTGTAATTTGGTGTGTGCATTAATATAACATGGCCTACTAATCAAAATAGAGGCTCCCTGTTGAGAGCTCCATAAGTAATGATACTTCGCAGATAATGGATCGCCTTGTCTTAAACCTCTCCTAGGTTGAAACTTTCAGTTTCTTCATCATTAATTCAAACCCTATAATCAATAGTGAAGACATATTTCATCATAAGATTTATCCATCTTTCCTGAAAACCAAGTTTTAACACAATTCCCTTCAAGAAAGGCCATTCCACTCAGTCATAAGCTCTGTGCATATCAAGCTTGATCACGCATAAACCCTCTTTTCCTTCCCTCTTATTTCTAATAGTATAAAAGCTCTCATATGCCACTAAAACATTGTCCATAATCATTCTCCCGGGCACAAAAGCACTTTGGGTGGGACTAATAATATGAGGCAACAAAACATTCAATCGTGATGCCAATATTTTGTAGATAACTTTATAAACCACATTGCAAAGACTGATATGTCTAAACTAGGTTACCTTCTCTCGGGTGAATTGACCTTAGGGATCAACACAATCGCAATGTCATTCCATCCCGATGGAATTGTGCAGGTATTCACCGCTTGCAAGACCTCATCAACCAAATCATCCCGTGGCATGGGCCATAATATTTTATAAAAATAGCATGAAGTCCATCTGTCCTTGGAGCCTTTAATTCTCCAATATAAAAAAGAGCCTTACGAACATCATCAAAAGTATAAGGGCCAAGCAAAACATTATTCACCTCTACAATCGCTCTACTCCGGACAAGGGACAAGACTTCCTGGTTTAGGTTTAGAACATCCGAGGTAAAAATACTAGAGAAGTAACTCATAATATGTTCCTTCAGATCATCATCCAGAAGTTTCTTAATATTGTGCCTTTTTTCCTGGCAGTTGCAGCATTATGAAAAAGTGATGTATTGCGATCCCCATGTAACAACCAGTTTGCTCGGCCTCTCTGTAACCAGAAAATTTCTTCTTGATCCAAAAGATTTTCAATGAGTACTAAAATTTCCTTCTCCCTCGAACGTGATTCCCCACCGATAGGAACATGCTTCAACCTCTCTAATTCCCCACTGATAGGAACACGCTTCAACCTCTCTAATTATTTTTTAACTTATTTATTCTCATTTTTCGTCCCTTCAAAGTTACTCAGTCCCAAACATATAAATCCTCATGCACCGCTCTAGTCCGTGCAGAGAGTTGAAAAAAGCTTCATTTGGATTGGTGCATTGAGTACCTGTACCAGTCCCCCCCCCCGAACTAAATGGTCCCACGTCGCTCCCATACCATTGCGGCTTCGGCCGTGTTGACCATCCCTTAGTAAGACGACTTCACCAAAAAAGGTGGTTGGCTTGGTGAGATTCAATGCCATAACTTGACGTCAGACGCTCAAGACACACTTTGCATTGATAGCCCAAAAGGTTTTTGAACCTATCGAGTCTTGTAATTTCATGGTGCTTTCTTCAAGAAAGTTCCCAAGCAAAGTCCTGGACAGGGTGCAGGCGCACTCCTAGGTTCCAAATGTTAAAAATGTTAATGTGCTTGCCATTTCCACTCGTCACACATGCCTTTTATCATTGCACTTACTTCAAGCATAATATTTTGCCGACTAGAGGAGGAACCCTAATTCCGTGTTTGTCTTTATCCAAGACCTTGTCTTTTTCTACCATTTTTTCTCAGTGAATGTCATTTCTTCTCTTCTTTTAGAACAAAATGTTATTTCATCTCAAAAAGCAGAAATGGTGGCCTTTTCACCTTGACCTCCTTTTCCCTGACTTATGTGGGGAATAGAGAGGAAACACACAGCGACTTTCCTCCGCACTAGTTTTGGGTCGGCCCATATGAGGGGCGAGGCTCCCCTATTTTTTGTGTTTTCTTTGCTTCTTAAAAAAATCAGGATTTCAATTTTTTTTCTCAATTTCATTTTCTCCAAAACTCATATTTTTTCACAACATTTCAAAAAATATGAATTTGAAAAAATCTTTGTGGATTTTAAAAATATCCCACATTTCAAAAAATCTTTATGATTTGAATTTGTTTTTGGAAAATTTCAAAATTCCCAAATTTCAAAAGCTATTCATGAATTTAAGAAATGTTCCGAATTTAAAAAATGCTCACAACCTTGTGAAATGTTCCTGGATTTAAATAATTGTTCATGATTTTGAAAAAATGTTCATGTATTTCAATAAGTGTTCATGAATTTTCTTAAATGTTCTGAATCAAAGAAATTCAGAATTGTTTCCAGATTTCGAAAATTGTCTTTGAATACATAAAAATATTCATGATTTCTTTAGAATTTTAAAAATTATCACACATTTAATTTTTTTTTCATATATTAAAAAAAACTATAAATATAAATATAAAACAAAAAAAGAAAAATCCAGATAAAACTGACAAGGAAAAACAGAGAGAAAAAGGAAAACCGATTTGCCCAAAACCAGAAAGGGAGTCTTCATAAAAATACAAGCAGTTCTACTTCACCCTATGTGGCACCAAGCGAATAAGTGGGAGAGGAGGTATGCGTTTGGTTGCTATCTGCCGCCCTACGCGAGAAATAGGAATCATCGTTTTCACAAGCTTCCCTGTTGGACTAGGACATATGTGGGCCGCAGTCGTTAAAACGCTGGTTTTGAAGGCCCACACTAGCCCAGTCCACGTTGCGACGCGGCGTGATCATGGATCTAAATGGGCATTACCTGAAGGACCAAAATATAAGAAAGCCCTCAAATAAGTGGAACCCCAGAACCCTAACCAGGCTCTTTTCTATCCTCTCACCACTCGCGCCTCTCTCGCCCTTCCCGCCGCCGCCGCCGCCACTCCCCTCGCCGCCGCAGCAGCCGCAGCCATGGGGCGCATGCACAGCCGCGGGTAATTCTCACCCCCTACACCGCAACCACAATCCGGTGAATTTTCTGGTCTAATGGCGTCTCCGCGACTCTGTTACGCAGGAAGGGCATCTCGTCGTCGGCGCTGCCGTACAAGAGGACTCCCCCGAGCTGGGTCAAGACCGCCGTCGCCGATGTAAGAAGAAGCCTCGCCTTCTCTTGGCCCCCTCGATTCGATGTGATATGGCTGGCTGATGCGCGCGTCGGCTCGTGTGCAGGTGGACGAGTTAATCACCAAGGCCGCGAAGAAGGGCCAGATGCCGTCGCAGATCGGCGTCCTACTCCGTGACCAGCACGGCATCCCCCTCGTCAAGAGCGTCACCGGGAGCAAGATCCTCCGCATCCTCAAGGCCCATGGTGAGAAGTAGATTAGATCCCACCTCGTCTTTCTCAGATTGCTCTTTGCTTGATGAGTGGATTGATTGTGTGAGTGTTGGTGCGCAGGGCTGGCACCAGAGATCCCGGAGGACCTCTACTTTCTGATCAAGAAGGCGGTGGCGATAAGGAAGCACCTGGAGAGGAACAGGAAGGACAAGGACTCTAAGTTCAGGCTCATCCTTGTGGAGAGCAGGATCCACCGCCTCGCTCGCTACTACAAGCGCACCAAGAAGCTCCCGCCCACCTGGAAGTAGTAAGTCACTCACTTCCATTGCCATTAATCTTTCTTCTGATATAGCTTCGGTGAATTGTGAGGCCTTATCAGTTTAGTACGCAATGTACAGTGAGCGGTTCGTTGTTTGTGTTTCACTTGCTACATATGAGGTGTAGAATGTGTGCTACATATAGCTTGTTGAGTAGGAGTTAGTGTTAGGTACTACTTCAGATGAGGCTACTTAAATGTGATATTGTGTCGTCAATGCATGCCACTTAGCCTATATTTAGATCCTAATTTGTTGGCTGTTCTGTCCTCCTGGGACAGGAATTTTAGAGAAATGGGATTCTAAGCTACTTAGTTATGCCTGTGATTAAACTTAGTTGTGTTTGTGCCGGATGTGCTGCTAATTGGTGTTAGTAAGGCATTCCCGTGCTGGCATACTGTAGTGGACACTGCTGTTTCGGTGTGCACACCAAAATTATAAGTACATGATGCAATAGTTTGATTTGTAAAGATCGATGTTATGAAGTGATGATATAGCCACTTCAGACATTTTTTAAGATCTAAATGGAAAACACCTATGCATTTTGTGTGTTACTAATTGACTTCAATTTGCCAGCATGATAATGTTAACTTCTTCTTTAGTTTGGATATGAAATAGGAATTTGATGAAGATCACAATACTTGTTTTAAAGAGAAATTATATCAACCCAACTGAAATGTTTGCAGTTTTGAAAAATGCAACTGGTTGTGATACTGACATATGTGTCATTATCCCACGAATGGGTGTCTGGGTGACACATACAATGTGTTCTTCAAACTGCAACATTTCTACAATTGCATTTATCTATTTTAGATTCCTACTCAGTGGTGGTCTATTATGTTGGCTGAATCATGTCATTCTGCAGCAAATCTATAATGATGAAATTGCATTTAAATTTATACGAATAAAATCATTGGTTATCTGATGTGCTGAGCAATATCAGCCATTTATGAGGGTGCATTTTAGTCTTTTAGAATACAAATGGGTAGCCCAAGGCAAAGGTACTACCTCCGTCCAAAAAAGCTTGGCCCTCAAATGAATGTAGCCCAAGACAAATGGGTAGCACCAAGTTAGTGCTAGATACATTCATTTGAGGGACAAGCTTTTCCGGACGGAGGGAGTACTAACTAAACCGTGCATCTATGTAATGTAAACATTGTTGTTGAACCGAAGGCAGTTCAATGATAATTGTACGACAGTTTATATTCACTCTGTTGCATTTGTTGTATGGCCTGGATGAATTTGTACACATATCGGACTACTTTTTGTCATACGTAAAGCATTTACGTTGGACTTATCTTATAGTATTCCTGTATGTTGCCAATTGTGTTATCTCATACAACAAATGTTTTGCTAACACAATTCTTTCGCCTCTGCAGCGAGTCTACCACCGCCAGCACTCTGGTGGCTTAAGGGAGATCCAGATCTGGTGTGCTCTTAGCTGATTAAAGCTTGATTGTTCTGGAAACCATTCTTATGTAATGCTTTATGATAGTTTGGAGCCAAGCAGATGCTGCAAATTTTCTATGTTTGCCTGGAGGATGCTGTAAAACCTTTATGGTTTCACTGTTCTGTCTGTTAAACGACTGTTATAATGTACCCAGATTTTGTCAGTTACAGTTAGCAGTTACCGTATGTTTTTTCAGATAGTACATGTTGCTCTTCCGCTGAAGATCGTATACTTCGCTTGCTTTGCTCTTACTCAGCGGTTTACTGAACTAAGCCTCGCATTCAAATACTTGAGCGTTTTCAAATTGAAATGTTGACCACATCATTAGGAAATACATAGTATGGCATCAAAGGAGAATTTTGATTTGGTAAGGTTCACATGCTAGAGTCCTGTAGTATGAATGGTTTCATAAGTTTTTGGGATTTTTCATTCCTTTATGAATGGTGCAGGCTAACTTCCTTTAGTCTAGCTTTGCTGAGATGTTGCATTTAAACTCGGTATCAGCAGATCATCTCCTCTCAAAGTGCCAATAAAGTCGTAAGTAGAGAAGTTTTTCAAAAACTTACCTCGTTTGTCCATCAAGTGTGTGCTGTCTGACGAATAATAACGTGTCCATTGCTAATGCGTTCGTATTATGTTACATGGATGGACAAATTATAAATTGGCGTTCTTGTTCCTCAACATGTTAAAGATGCAAAAGTCGGCTGAAGAGCTAAAGAAAACATAACGTATCCAATTTTTGAGATAAAAATCAAATGGCCACCTATGTCAAACAATGTAGCTAAAGTTCTCAAATTTTGGCATGAAAAACTAGTGTCCCTCGAATCTGTACACACCCCTTGGCAACATCCTCATGTTACACATGATCACTATGGCAGTATGACAACATCCTTCTTTTTTCTTTGAAAAATAAGACTTTATTGACCTCAAGGACTCCACACCAAGCAAAAGCACACTCCCTTGGAGAATCGGCGTCCTCATCCTCGATCTGCTCCGATCCGCGCGAGCCCTTCTCAAGGACTCACGTGATTTTTTTTGTCAACAACAAACGAGCTAGTGCGGCCGGCTGTACCTTGGAGAATCGGCGTCCTCATCCTCGATCTGCTCCGATCCGCGCCGCCCCCTGTCCCTGGTGGCTCTGGCCGCCGTTTTCTGGATGCCGGGTGTGCGGATCTGGTGGTTGGGTGCGGATCCGGGGGAAACCCCTAGCCGGCGCGGCGGCCACACTGAAGATGTCGCCTTTGGGCGTCGTTCTCCTTGCTGAAGGCTTCGGTGGGCTTCCTGCACCTCCCACCCCACCCAGCAGCTCAGGTGAAAGCCTCAGTTCCTCGTTTCATGGCGACGACGGCACCTTGGTGGCGTGAACCTTCCTGAAGGCGTCGTCAAGGAAGTGCTCAAGTGGTGGTGGAGTCGGTGGTGGTTCGACGGCGGATTGTATTGGCCTGATCTTCATCTTCGGCAACTTGCTCGGGTCCAGGTGTGGAGGGCTTCAGCCGCTGGTGCGAGGGGATCGGAGTCCCTCTCTCGTGCCATGGGCTATGGTGCCTCCTATCCTTGACCGATGCATGGTGCTGCATACTCTTGGCCTTCTCCGGGGTTTTTAGCGCCTTCGTCTCGACAACTCTCGTCCGGTGCTCTGCCTTGCTGCTGCCGGCAACGGTGACTAGGTGTTCGGCTCCCCGTTTCGTGTGGGTTTGTTCCTGGTGCCTCTCCTTCGGTTGCTTGGGAATGCTGATCTGGGTTCTAGGGTGAACCACTCCACAGGCCGCCGGTGCGGCACCCGTCGAGCCCGGATGAAAGGGTAGGGGCCCTTTGCGGAGGCGGAGTCAGGTCATGTGTTGCCCCTGTTTTCCTTCTGATGGCAATCAGTGACACAAAAACATGCACGGTGGTGCCTTCCTCCCATAGCCTTAGTAGGTTAGCTGGTTTCGGCTTAGCGGCGTTCGATGTCATTCTATGCCTTCGAGTTGTTCTACTGAGCACAATGTATCTTTATTTCCGCTCTTTGTTTTCTTGTTGTAAGTGGCAGTCCTGTAATCCTGGCCGGTTAATGGCTTTGTTAATTCAAAGTCGGGCTCTTCTTGAGCCTTCGTTCTAAAAAAGCACACCCCCTTGGCAACATACTCCTGTGTGATACAATCGTGGAAGACCACAGATCGTGTGACACTGGCATCAAAGAAGAGGCAGAGGAAATCCGATCGCTTGATTCTTGACTAGAATGAATCGTCAAGATCCCATCGAAAAATGCTCTCACAAGATTTCAGACCACCGGTATATGGTCAACCCAGTCAGTCCATTCATGTTAATGATTGTATTTCGGCAAAATTGCAATGGTACATCACACTACATTACTCCGTACATACAGAAGATGTTAGCTACTGAGTTGCGCTCGTGCAAAGTGCCTGAACAATGAACTCAATTGGCAAATAAGTCAAACAAAAATAAACACAGTAGCTTCCGGTTCTAACTCTCAAGGGTTTGGCTTAGTGTATCTGGCGATTTTACATGAGCTTCTCTGACGATGATATCCCGTCCATGAAATTCCTGTTGCGTTAGTAAGAGTCGAGATAAGATATGATAGTTGTCAACATAGTCGCAAACTCGCAATATCATTGGGAGTGGCATAAAAAAGTGTATATAGAAGCAGAGTCTAATCAGGAAAAAATATGAAATGGAGGTGCTTAAGATATCATGGAGCTACTGGTAAGCTTCAGGTTATGCAGAAACATTCTGAAACAAATGTAATCCCATTTTACTTATATAGGATTTTCTTATACAAACTAACCCGAGATGCAGATTCTGAAGGAGATGCATATATGAAGTTTCTTGAAATAAATTCAACAAGGATTTGCGGTTTCCATTCTAATATCAAACCCGAGGGAATAAGTAGCAAAATACAGAAGTTAAAGAATTATACCGTATTGTTAAGCTGCAGAGCAGCCTCAAGCTCTTCGGCTGAAGAAAATGAAAGGAATCCATAGACACGACTTCTCCCTCCTTTGCGATCTGTCAGCAGCCTTGTACTAACAACAGTTCCACACTGAGTGAAGTGCTCCCTCAAGTGTTGAGGTTGAACAGACCATGCAAGGTTGCCAACATAGATCTTGTATCGACTTTCAAAGATATGGTCCTTCATGGGTGGTGTATGGGACAGGCTGGGATTTCTCCTACTAGCAACGACGTGAGCCGCTAGTTTTACAAACATCTCACGCCCATCCAGGTCCTATAAGAGAAACATCAAAGTAAAAGAGAGTAATTTGTAATTGGATTACTACACGGAGCACTTTCATTTGTAGACAATATGCAAGTTGAGAAGAAACTACTGAGAAAATGAAGCCATTGTATGACTCACAAATCCATCGAGAGCATTGATAGCTGTTCTAGCTTCTGCAAGAGAACGCATCGTAACAAAGCCACATCCTCGACTAATCCCGGTCTCGGCATCACGAGAAACCTGCGGGTTGTTAACAACTTCAAATATTACCATCAAAATGAGCCTCTAGAATCTTAGGGCTTCTTTGATTCAAAGGAATTTTATAGGATTTCTAGAGGATTGAAATCCTTAGGATTTTTTCCTATGTTGGTCCTTTGATTCATAGGATTAGATTCCATAGGAATTTTTCCTATGGAATATTTTGTACTACATTTCATAGGAAACCTAACATCCACTCCAACCTCTTTTTACAATTCCTTTGTTTTTTCTGTGACATCAAACACTCATTGCTAATCCTATAGGATTCAAGTGGGCATGCCACTCCAACCCTATACTTTTCCTATTCCTACATTTTTAAAATCCTACGAATCAAAGAGGCCCTTAATTGGAAGCAACAAAATATTACCCAAGGATGTGACACCATCATACGTATCATATACAATCACGCATATAACTAAGGCAGCAATTAGAGTGTAATTCTATTGAGACCTAAACCAGGACATCATTGAACAGATACTAGCCAAACGGCACCAAGTTCAGTTCACTGGTGTGTCGGTCAAATATTACTGACTAATACAACGCCACGAGAAATATGAAAAATGAGAAGCATCTGATATAAACCCCACCCTTTGTTCATCAGCAGTTTTCAGTAAGATATTGTGGAATCATAAGCGCAAGAGCCGCCAGTAGAGATTGTAAACATTCAAATAAAGTATATAAAAAGGAAAAAATACGACAGACTGCTGTTTTCTCTGCACAATTGAAGTATCCAAAATACCAAACCTGCTGCGTAACAGGTGGTTCAGAGCATCCATTGAGATTTGTGGAGTTGCTAGCCTTACTGATGGTGAGGCAGGTGAGTTAAACTCTATCTATGGGGTTACCAGATAACTTCACTTAATTCTATGAACTCCCGAGGGACGGACCAGAGCAAGGTAACCCGTAGTGCCATGCTAGCTTAAGAAGTTAAGAAGTACTCCATGGATGGTAAGTTATAGGCCTGGGGCAATACCATGGTCCATGGCTGCACGGGCCATGCCTATCTCCTACCTCCATGTCCCAAGCCATTGGAGCCATCCATCCAGGGGGCGTCACTGGTGTTCAGCCGGCCCGTGCAATTCTTCTTCATGGATGATAAACACCGTGTAGGGTATAGTAACACTATGAATCCGACAGCGGAGCAGGCGCGCGACCGCGTGAAATGCAAGGGAGCGCACCTCGACGGAGAGGACGGTGCCGTATGGCCCGAAGAGCTCGAGCAGTTCGTCGACGCCGCACCTGCGCGGCAGGTTGCACACGAACATCTCGCGCGGCCGCGGCTGCCGCCGCGTCCACCCGCTCCCATCCTCGGCCTCCGGATCTCCGCCGTAATGCTCCTCCTCCCCGTGCGCCGCCGTGCCATTGCCCCCGGCCCACTCCTGCTCGTCATCCTCGTCGTCAGACTGCGCCTGCGTAGCGGGCCACCGAGGTGTCTCCTCTTCCTCCTCTGTATCGAACGCTAGAGGCGTCTCCTCCCCATCCTCTGTCTCGAACGCTAGTTGGCTCGCGCTGGCTCTCCTCCCCTGGCCGAAACGAGAGGGGGAGGCGGCGTTGGGGTTGGGGAGGCGCGCGGCGGCGGAGGAGAGGGCGAGGCAGCGGTGGCGGTGGCGTGTGGGGGGAGAGGATAGGTGATGAGAATGGATCGGGTTGAGAAAGTGAAGCAGGGTGTGATACAGGGCAGGGGCGGAGGCCATGGCGGTCGGATAGGGAGGAGGGAGGGAGAGCAGCCGAGAACGGGGGAAGAAGGAAAGCGGCGTTGAGTGCCGAGCTTTCCTGACAAGGACGAGATGAGCGGCCCGATGGTTAGCCACGTATGCAATTTGCTCCGTGCCGTACAGCAATAGCTGCGAGAAAAGTGGCGATAAAAATGAAACTAGAGGCAGCGATGTCAAATAATTCAAATTTTGGTTAAAATCAGATATTTTTTTGGGGTCCATCTTAGTTTGATCTCTTCATCAATATAATGTAATTTGTTGCCTCCCCTCTGCCTGCCGCTTCCAGCAGCTGGTGATGGGGAGGAGAATTCTAGTGCCGCCGCTTTCGTTAGCAGTTTAGGTCAGGGTTTTCTAGTCTTCGCAGGTGCGGTGTAGCCGGTACTCGGGCGGATGGTGGTGCTACTTCTTCGAGTTTGTCGTTCGGACTTCGATTCTTTTTGAGTTTGTCCGTTTGGATGTAGTCGACAAAGCTCCGGCGTAGATTTTGCCGTCTCTTTGGGACGGTGAGGTTAGGTTTTTTTTATCTTGTGATGAGATTTGATGCCAGGTGCTTCAGATCTATGCAAGGGTTCAATGGCGACGATTGCGGCTCCAGGGCGCTGGCTCTTAGGGTACGTGCACGAAGACTTCCTAAGTGTCATTGACAAGGTCAAGCTGGCTCCGGTAGGGGAGCGACGACAGCGCCGGCTCATTCTGACGGCAATAGTGATTATTTGGGGTCTTAAAATCTCAATGTAATTTTTATTGTGTTTGAGATGCTTTGTAGTTCTGTTGAACTTTGCTAATAGACCTGAATCATTTTTGCGAAAAAGAATAATGAATAAAGGCCACGCATCCGTTTTTTATTTGTTGCTGAATTACAGATCTTTTTCTTTTTCTTTTAGTTTCTTGAAACAAAACCCAAAAAAAACAGGGACCAATTTTGTTGAGTTATGTTCGTGCTTTAGAGGGAGAGGGGGGCAGGGTAGAAGAGTTGAAGAGAAAATACTATGGATGAATTTTTAAATGCACTCCCATTGTGCGAACTTATAATTTTTTAAAGAAATGCCAACTTCTATTCATTTATTGTTTTTGGGTCTTGTACTGCTGCTTTGTCTTTGGTTCCTCGTACTTCAATCACATTACCAAGCCTGAACATTATTGGTTAGTGCATCTCCAACAGCTTTTGTATATTGGTTCCCAAAAAATGGTGATAGAAAAAGGAGAGAGAAGGTTCAGCAATTCAAATCAAGTTGTGCTTTGACAACCTTTGTATATTGGATTTGCTATATTTGTACAAAACATGCAATGACATGTGGGAAAAGTTTGCCAGACACTGTTGGATTTCGGGTTTCGGCAAACCCTTGAGGTTCGAACACTGGGGTGCGTACGAAGATCTCTCTCTCTAGCTCGCACACACCATGATCTTACGACCTAGCTCGACGAACCCAGAGAACAAGAGACACAAGAGTTTATACTGGTTCGGGCCACCGATGTGGTGTAATATCCTACTTCAATGTGGTATGGTGGATTGTCTCTTGGGCTGAGGATGAACAGTTACAAGGGAAGATCAGCCTCCTGAGGTGAGGTGTTCTTGTGCTTGGCGAACTTGTATGGTCAAGGATGATCTGGATCCTCTCTCTCTGGATCAGTTTCCTGTTTTCTGTTCCCTTTCACTGTGGTGGCTAGTCCTATTTATAGAGGCCGTGGTCCTCTTCCCAAATATTGAGCGGGAAGGGATCCCATAACGGCCAAATTCGAAGGGAAACAACTAGTACAAGTTATCCTGACAAAAGTAGCCTTCGCTTGCCAAAGGCTCTGGTGGTGACGCCATCTTGGGCTCCACGATGACCTCCGTCCTGCCGTCCTGCTCGTCTTGGTCTCGTTGCACCAATATGAAAACCTTTGCCTGATGCCTCGGGACTCCTCGCCTGTGCTTGCCTCTTTAGCACCAAAGAGGAAACGAGGACACTGCGCGCTGGCGCCCGCCTGGCCCCAATCGTCATGTCTTGCGCCACAGAAACCTCGAGGTTTCCCTTGCCTTGATCTCTCCGCCCCTCACGAGCCTGCCTGGTGAAGTTGCCCCTGAGGAGGTCTTGTGTCGTCCACCTCGCGAGGCTTGGCCCCTCGCGAAGGTCTTGAGTGTTTGTTGGTGAAGATGGGTCGTATAGGGCCGCTGGTGGAGCCACGTTGTGGGCCGCAGGCAGGCAAGTCTGGGGAGCCCCATTCCCAGAACGCCGACAGTAGCCCCTGAGCCCAAGGCGCGCTCAGGCTTGGCTTCGAGGCGAAGCCAAAGGGCAAATGTGGAGCGCCGTGGGCCCCAACAGCCTGCGGCCACGATTGGCGCGTGGCAACTGATTGGACGTGGGCGTCTCTGTTTCTCCACACTGCCTCGGCAACTGTCCATCTGACAAAAAGGTCGGCGCGGACAACGCTTGCCTTCATTGCTTTCCTTCGTCTTGCTCCAGATCCCCTCTCTCGCTCCTTGCTTGCGAAATCTCCAGATCTGCTTCAATCCCCTTCCTAGCTTTCGACCAATGGTACCCTGAAAGGCCAAGGCCGTTTCGCCGCCTGTCTGGTATGAGTCGGCTCTGGACGTGCCCAATGTCTCGGAGAAGAACCTCGCCGCCACGTGCCTGTTGACGGCGGGGGAGAGCAACGAGAAGGGGAAGACCAAGCTCCGAGCTGGCTCCGTCGTGCCGGAGGCTTCGAAGAGCTCCTTCTACCCCTTCTTTATGAGCAGCGTCGTCGCGTGCCTGGTTCCCCCCTTCTCCGACTTCTTCTACGTCGTCCTCCGTCATTACATGTTGCATGCCCTCCATCTCCATCTCAACTCCGTCCTTCTCTTGTCGATCTTTTCCTTCTACTGTGAGGCGCATGTCGGGGTGATGCCATCCGTGGCACTGCTACGCCACTTCTTCTTCCTCCGAATCAACGACGGCCACACCTCTGGGTGCGCCAACTTTGTCGCTGCCGGCAAGGCCAATGTGATCTCGAAGGCCGGAAAGAAGGCCGATGGCTTCAGGAGCAAGTGGGTCATGATGGATGCCAAGTGTGTCCACCCGCTGTTGAAGCTGCAGAACGGAGATGCCCCAGTCTGACGAGGGGTGGTCCCACGCGAAGCTTACTGACGACCGGGCGAAGTTGGTGCTGGAGAAGATGACCATCGACCTGAGGCCGAGCAATGCGAAGGCGGGGAAGCTGATGGGGCCATGCTCCTGAGAGAATTCCTGATGCTGTGGGTGGATCCTCTCCAGGCGCGCTCGCGCCCCTTGTGGACGCTCGGGGGCGGAGAAGGCAAGCTTCGCTTGAGTCCGGAGGCCTTATCTGAAGAGTAGCTGGCTGTACCTCTCCACCTCTTGGTCAGGGACGACCAAGAGTATTCGCCGAGTGCCCACATTCCCTTGTTCCTTCGGAAGGACGGGGCGCTGGTCGTGGCCGCCATGCCCACCTTTGACGAGCATGGCCTGGTGCCGCCGGCGCCCCCTGGGGTCCCGGTTGCGACGGCAATGGTGGACGTGTCTTCTGGTGATTACCGCAGGGATGGGGAAGAGGAGGAGGGCGAGGAGCGCGACTTGGAGGCGACCCCCGAGGGGATGAGGGAGACCCCTCCCCCTTGCGCAAGGCCGACATCCTCCGCACCCTGCCTGATGACGATGACGAGGCTGGTGTCCTCCCGGAGAGAGAGGAGCCGCCCGTGGTTCCGACGAGGGGCAGGTCGGCGATGATCTCCCGGGATGACGCTCCTGCCCCGACACCGCCTGGAGCTGCTTCCGGTCCATCTGCTGCCCCTGCTTCTGCTCCTGCAGCCCGCGCGCCCGCGCCTCAGGCTGCGAGGCTCTCCGGCTTCAAGCTTAAGAAGCGGAGGGACTACGCCGCGGTGGACCAATAAGTGTTCTTGTCCTGCCTTGTTCTTACTTCTGCCACTCGCCCTTGATGCTTCTCCGTTGTGCAATCAGGTCGATGCCCGCGGCGAAGAAGAGAAAAGAGGACGAGGTGGTACTGCTCGAGCCCAGATCACCCCTCTTCATGGATAAGGGCAGCGGCGCTCGTGCTTCTCCATCCCGATCATCCTCACGAGGCTTGGTGGAGCATCCTCAGGAGGAGTCAGCCCCCGAGGCCCCGCTGGCTCCGGAGGTGCCAACATCCGGCTCGGGCGCTGGGGTCCCCGAAGCTCAGGAGCTTCTGGCCTCCCAGGCCATGGTGAAAACGTCGCCTTCTCCTCCTTCTGCCACATTTTTGTCTCCGGGTTTTTCCGCCTCTCCTGACGTCCTGGAGCGCGCTCTTTCTGCGATGGCCCTGCTGCGAGAAGATCTTCAAAGCACCGACCGTCGCCTGGTGGCCGGATGCTTGGAGCTGGTCTCTGGCTGGCTTCACTCCGATGTGTCCGTCCGGGCGACGCTGAGCCAGGCTGCTGTGGACTCCGAGAAGGACAGGGAGGCTGTCGCCCAAGCTGTGGCCGCCCGCGAGGTGGCGCTGAAGGATGCCAGGGACGCCCAGGACCGATGCCGGTCGCTGGAGGCCGAGCTGGAGACCATGCGGAGGGAGCGTGCGAAAGAAGCCCGAGGCCTCAAGGCGGAGGAGGAGAAGATTAAGGCCCGAGAGGACGCCGTCAAGGATCGCGACGCCGAAATGGAGCAGGTGGCGAAGGCGCAGGCCACGGAGCGCAACTGGCTAGAGGAGCTGGAGTAGAAGCTGAAGGCGGAGAAGGCCGAGCTTGACGCCAAGGCGAAGGTCCTGGCTGAGGACCGCGCGGCCTTCAAGCTCCTCGAGGAGAGGTCTCGGACGGCACTGCGGTCACTCTACGAGAATGGCTTGGAGGAGCCGTTGACCGCCAGCAACGAGGGCCCCACCCAGCTGCTTCCTTATCTAGTCGGTGTGCTTGAGGACGTCGTGAGCGGTATCGGCCCCATGGCTGAGGAAGAAGCCCGCGTTCTTTCCTCAGCCGCACTGACGCGCGTCTTCAGCCACCTCCATCTCCGCGATCCTGCCACCTGCCT